AACCTATCTGTAAGTGGCTGGTAAGTTGATGTACTTCAATTGTACAGCTACGTCTGATGACAGGCTTTAAGTCAGAATCTGACATTTTAGTCCATGTGTGACCTCTTTTTTTTTAATCACTTCTACCTGTGCCTCTTTTTTTTCTTTTCTTTTCTTTTTTGAGTTGGAGTCTCACTCTGTTGCCCAGACTGGAGTGCAGTGGCACACTCCTGGCCACCACAGCCTCGACCTGCTGGGCTCCGGTGATCCTTCTGCCTCAACCTTCCAAGTAGCTGGAACTAGAGGCGCGTACTACCACGCCTGGCTAATTTTTTGATTTATTGTAGAGATGTGCCTCTTTTTTTTATGGTGAGTTGTATAATTATTTCATTATATATTTCTACGTAATAATGATAGAAATAAAGTGCACAATAAATGTTATGCACTTGAATCCTCCCAATACCATCCCTACCCCTCCCAGTCTGTGGAAAATTTGTTTTCCATGAAATCAGTTCCTGATGCCAAAAAGATTGGGCACTGCTGAGTTAAAGAATGTTTGTTCTAAATTAGATAGCATATAAAACTGCAAAATGCTTTCCTGTTCAAAAGCATGAAACTCTGCAATCTTCTTGCACCAGATAGATTTATTCTTAGACATTTCTTCTTGGAGACTCCAGTTTTTACTCTGATGTTTGCCATTACAGGTGAAACCGTCTTGAGTAACAATATCCTGACTGCTACAAAGCTGTATGCCACACAGAAAGTTTGCTTGTTATAGAAGAGTTTAGAAAAGGCCCACTGGGAAATTCCAAACCTTTACAGTTCTCCCTTCCTCTGTGATTCTGTTTTCTTTTCTTTACTTCCTTTTTTTTTTGAGTTAGAATTGCACTTTGTCGCCCAGGCTAGAGTGCAGTGGCATGCTCACGGCCCACCCCAAGCGTCGACCCGCTGGGCTCAGGTGATCCTTCTGCCTCAGCCTTCCAAATAGCCTGAACTACAGGCATGCACTATCGCATCCAGTTAATTTTTTTTTTTTTTAATTCGTTGTAGAGATGAGGCCCCACCAAATTGCCCAGTCTGGTCTCGAACCCGCGGACTCAGGCAATCCACTTGCATCGGCCTCCCAAAGAGCTGGAATTACAGGCTGAGCCACCGAGCCCCTCTGTTTTCTTTTAATCCATACTAATTGTGCATAATTGATGCTGTTGGGGAAAACCTCTCTGTTTACTGATTGAACTGTTATGACCCTCCTGTCCTTGTGTGTGAGTGTGTGTGTGTGTGTGTGTGTGTGTGTGTGTGTAAATTAGTTATTCATACTAAGAGAGGTTCTCTAACCTCTTCTTCTTTAAACTAATAGTGATTTTTATTATCATAATTTTAATGGTTAGAAGACAGGAATCAGCATAATGCTCCCTAGTATCTACATGCCTCTGAAAGAGAAGATTTGACAATTGCATGCAAATGATAAATTCTGCACACACACTAGCCTAACAAAAAGTTTCTTAAGTGCCAAAGGTGCAGCAAGAGAATACAGGAAGGATATTTGATTCCAGTGGAAAATTTGCCAACCCTGTACATCTTCAGAGGTGGACAAATTGGAAAAGCCTTTCAGACTGCACAGCTAGAGCAGCCCATGATACATTTAGCAACCCTGAAAACCAGGAAGTCGCAAGTGGCCATAAGAAGTAAAAGAACAGGTGATGCTTAAGATGGTACCAGGCCATTCTTACTGGAATTAGGTGGTATCTCAATGTGGTTTTGATTTGCATTTGCAAAGAACAACAGATGCTGGCAAGGATGCAGAGAAAAGGGAACGCTTCTACACTGCTGGTGGGGATGCAAACTAGTGCAACCACTTTGGAAGACAGTATGGCAATTTCTGAAAGAATTAGAAATTGACCTTCCATGTGACCCAGCAATTCCCCTATTGGGAATATACCTGGAACAACTCAAATCATTCTACAAAAAAGATACCTGCACACGTATGTTTGTTGCAGCTCTATTCACAATAGCAAAAACATGGAACCAACCATGCTGCCCATTGAAACTGGACTGGATAAAGAAAATGTGGTACATATACACAATGGAAATTACACAACCATAGAGAAGGACAAACATATGGTTTTTGCAGCAACTTGGATTGATTTAGAGTTGATTATACCCAGTGATCTATCACAGAAACAAAGAACAGAGTACCATATGTTTTCACTCATAAGTGAACCTTGAACAATTATTATAATACTGTAAGAAAGGGATTGGCAGTAGTGGGAAACTGTCAGGAGAGTGGGAGTGGAATTGGCAGTTGAGGGAAACTGTTAGGGAAGGGAAGGGCATATCTCATCAACAAGGGTCCCCGCATAATCAATGTTTGTATACCTAACCCTGAATTGTACCCCACATCTTTATAATAAAACATTTTTTTTTAAAATGCTACCAGGATTCCCTGGAACATATTCAACTTAACTGTAGATGACAGCTTCTATGGGGTTCAGGTTAGGTTACATCTTCAGTATGGAAACCAAATTAAGCCATCCAGCAGAATTTAGGGCAAGAGTATAAGTCAGGGTCTATGTATCAAGTTTTCAATCAAGCTGCTAAATAAAATATATCTTCTTCCCTAGTCAAGTATACCTTCATGACAACCCGGAAAGCTGCATTTAATAGGTTTCTTAGGTTCCTTGGAATTCTGTGGCTGCCCATGGTAGCTTGGGAAAGCTTGTCTCCCATCACTCCTCCCTTCTCTTCCCATCCCTGGCTCTACCCTGGCCCCTCATGCCCCTCATGTATAAGCGTGGACACCCCAGTCTACACATCCAAGCCATCCAAATCCTTGGCAAACAACTGCTCCTTGGATACTCCTGGGTGTTGGGATGTGTGTCTGATGGCATGGTCTGCCTTCAGGAATGAGCCTGGAGGAGTGGCCAGTGCAGGGCCTGAAGGCAGGCCTGGAACCCCTTGGGCAGAGGATCCTACTGTTCCCCACCTGGAGGATGGTCTAAATGAGGCACATCCTCCCGGCCCCACAGACTCCAGGTCTGGTGGCAGAAAGGTCAACAACAATCCATTCCCTGCTCTATGGACTTATGTAGTTTAATTCGTATTCAAGTCATCAAGGCTCTTATCGACAGTGGTAAACAATTCCCACATTTTACTAAGCTCAGTGCCCATTGGTAGTGCCATCTAAACCTCCTAACCTATACTGTACCTGTACTTCTTGCTAAGAGAATTCCTGTAGATAAATTGCAGATATAGATAATACATTTCACTTTACACAGCAGCTTTGCTGTATCAGATTGTCTCTACTCATTTGTTCATTATCTGTTGATTTAAACAATTACAACCAACTTTGGTGGGGGAGGGATGGTGGGGGGTAGTTTTAGTGCCCTTCTCTTTAGATTTGGGTTTCAGAACATTTATTTTTCTTAAGTAGAGCCATCTATTTAAGCTGGCTCACAAACAAGTAGATTCCAGGGAAGGCAGAGTATGACCGGCACTAGGATCCCAGTGAGGCAGGCTGATGGGGTGCCCTTCTTGCCTCCTTCTGGGCATTTTGTCCTGCCTCTCCCCAGGATGTGTGTGCGGCCATCTTTGTTAGCTGAACCAAAGACTAGGGCAGCAGGGACTTTCCCCATGTATGGCATTTTAATCTCTCAATCTCTACATTTCCCCGATATTTCTTCCAAAGAACTGTCATGGCAAGCAACCTTGTCTCCTAGTTAGCAGTTCAGCTAACTGCAGGAAAAAGATCAAGTTCATACATGTTTTCACATTTTTTAACAAAGGCAAACTCTACATTTATGGATGTGGCATAGAGGTGGGGCAGCCGAAGATTCCATGGAGAACATTGTCTCTGCTAGGGGAGTCTGCACATTCTGGTTCAGGAGGACTGGAATCTCAAGAGGCTGCGCCCTGTTCATGTTTGAGGCAGTGTAGTGTAGTGGTTAGGAGCACATGGCTGGCCTTGGGCCACAAATTTAAATCCTGGCTCTAGCACTTACTACCAAGACCTGGGAAAGTTATTTAAACTCTTTGTGCTTCAATTCCTCATCTGAAAAATATGAACGATATTAATAACTTACATATTCATACATTGATGCAAGGAATTTAGAATTGTGCCTGGCACCTTATAAGGGACAATCAATCTTTAGGCTCTCTTGGGTTAGACATACACTATTTCCATATTCTACACAAAATGTGAGGTTTGCCTACATTCATAACATTTATAACAGCACTAGAAGACGCCTCGTTCCCCCTTGTTGTGACCTCGGTTTCAGCTCATCGTGTGAAGATAATTCATGATCTTATTCTTGCCTCCAACCGTGGACTGCAGCATTGTGTCTAGTCTCTTGTTGCCATTGTTATTATATATTTCTGACCTTCTGTGCAAGCCCAGTGCAATACACATCACTCTTGTCAGAGGGATGGGAGCTCCCGTTGCCCGCTTTCTGTAAGTGGCTTTTTAAGATTTCTCCTGGAAATAAAACAAGTGGTAGGTGATTTGTAAGATTGCAATGCAAGATCTGGGTGTTCCTTTCCTTTCTCTTAAGCTTTACATTAATAAATAGTGGTTAAATGTATGAATGCATGAGCTTTCCATATTTCTGTGCCTCTCAGTAGCAAGTTACTATGTCTCAGGTCAGTTAGTAGAGCACATCCGTTTTGACCGGCATTAAGATCACTAGTGATCACTAGGACCACTGTTAGATTCTATATCAGCGTTCTTATAGCCACGGAGTGTCAACTCTGTCCCCAACCACACAGTAAAACGTATGGTACCATGTATATCCAAAGACAAGACATAAGATGTCATCCCATCTCCTCTTCCCTCTGACTTGTATTATGGCATCACAAAAACCCAAGGAGGAGGCATCACTTTTCTGACCTCTTTTATTTTGAAAATCACTTGGGCCTGGAGAATCGACATTTAACTGCAAAGAAAACTCAATGCATTAATAACATAATAACTTGATGTTGAAGAGTGGAGACAGAAATGTGATGTATAACAACCTTTTTTTTTTTAGTAACAGAAGATCTTATTAGACGGAATGCTGAACACAATGACTGTGTGATTTTTTCCCTGGAGGAACTCTCTTTGCATCAGCAAGAAATAGAAAGGCTAGAACATATTGACAAATGGTGCCGGGATTTAAAAATTCTCTATCTTCAAAATAATCTTATTGGAAAAATTGGTAAGTTTCAGTACTTTGTTCTCATGGTTTCTTTAACATTTTCAATAAGAGAAATTTGGAAAATGCAATGTTATTTTTTAGAGGAAGACAATCACTGATAAAGAATTACATGAAAAAACAGATATAGCCATCTCTCAGTAGATGTGTATAGGTCATCTCCCTGAACCTTTCCATGTGTAGTGAGTCTTGTTGCCTGAAATAATCTCCAGCAAGGAGTTGGGAGAGCAGGTAATGGTGGGAACACATTAGTTGACCTGATTTTTAAAGTTGGAAAGGGAAGAAGGCATAATCCAGGCATTTGTCATGGTTTTACATTACTCTGCGGAACGCAAAGGATTATGTGGGAATTGAGGTCCTTGTCAGGTGACCACAGACTTCGATAGCTAGTCCTGCTATAGTTATTGTGAACTTACATGTGCAAGGCATTGTACTCAGTATTGGGTATCGAGGGAGTTCCAGTTTGGAATGGAAATGAGAGGTAAATACAGAAGTCAGGTCCATGAAGATCATAATATCAGCATTATAACTGATAATGCTTTTTGAAGAATGTGGCTTGGACTTGCCACCAAGTGGACTTGTTCATGCATTCCCCCTCACCCCACCCTGACCCACCCCATGCTTAAACCTATACACACCATCCCATGCACAACTGGACAGCCACAAGTTTCCCTTACCCAGGTGGGCCTTTGCTTTATAGCAGAAGGGGGTTGAGACCATGTGCTCTTCGCCAGCAGGAAGACCCCAGAAGCCAGGAGAAAGGGTAGGGCTGGGCCTGCTGTGTTTCTTCTTTCAATTAACCTGTCAGGTAAGTTGATCCTTCCCCGCTCTGGCAACCCTCTCCCCATAAGAATAATGAATTAAAGGGAAGAGAGAAGGGAGGTCGTGGAGTCACTTTAGTGGAAGTTCTGCCATGTAGAGACAATGGTAAGGCAAGCACAAGCTCTGGTGTCAGGCAGACCTTGGTTGGAGCCCTGCCTCTGCCACCTATATGCTGTGTGAAGTTAGACAAGTCAATTAACTTGTCTGGGGCTTAGTTTTGCCATCTGTAAAATGGCTGATACATCTAACATATGAATTGGTACAAAGATGACATGAAGTGATGTGCCTACCCTTGGGCTCACCAGGAGATAAGTGTTCATCAGAGGATGGCTTGCTGGGTGCCCTTGTTATTCATTTAACCTCTTACCCTAGCAATCCCCAGGCAAGCCAAAGGCCAATAGGAGCAGAAGGCAGAAGCTGGAGAAAAGGAGAGGGAGCCCAGGCTGATGAAGCAGAGAAAGTGCCAGCTCCTATGTGATCTGGTTCTGGAGCCCCAAGGTTAGCTTTCAGGGTCAGAGTTAACTTTCCACCTTGGTGTGCATGGCTCCCAGCAGGGGACATTTGACAGATCTGGAGACACTGGCTGTCGGGGGTATATGTGTGTGTGTGTGTGGTTGTGGGTGTGTGTGGGGAGGGGTGCTACTGGCATCTAGCAGTGTATAGAGGCCAGGAATAGTGATAACCATCCTACAGCTTTCAGGACGGCCCCCCACAGGAAGGAATTATCCGGCCCAAAATGTCAGTGTTGCTGAGGCTGAGAAACCCTGGTGATGGGGTTGCCTCTGGTTTCATGGATAATTGAAAATTGGCTTTAGGATTGTAAAAAGCCTACATTTGCATAATTTTTTTGAAGATTTACTAAAATTCTTTATATTTCTTCAGATAATTTATTTTCGGCATCCTTTACTTTACTAGAAATTAGAAACTCTGGCACATGGTTCAATTAAAAAGGCTATTACAGAAAACCGGCAGCTTTTATGCATGGGGGCATTAAAGAACGGTTCTAATTGTACAGATCTAAAAGCGCTCCCGAAATTTTAATCTCCACAGCTGGGTCCATCACAATTACTAATTAGTAGCATAGTATTTCAGTCCTTTTCAGAGCTGTGAGAAAGCTTAAATTTTTGCCTCCAAAGTATTCTTAAATTAAACACTCTTTTAAATCCTAATAATGAGATTTTTCAGTGTGACTCCACCCAGAGGCATTTAGGCACTTATTTAGCAAGTAAAACTACTTCTCTAGAATCCAGACTTGCTCTTGTGCTATTGAGGTAGACATTGGCAAAACAATCGCCTCTCCCAAAGCTCCCTTCCTCCCTGGGAGATGCAGATGGGCTGTGGAGGAAGGCGCTGTTTGGTGTGGGTCCAAGTGTGAGCTGAGGACCATCTGCAGTCGCATTGCATTAGAGTGCAGATTCCGGGCCCCTCCTCAAGCCTATTGAGTTAGACCCTGTAGGGTGGGCTCTAGTAATCAACTTCTCAACAGCTTTCTAAGGGGCCCCATGCCTGGGTGAAGCTGAGGACCACAGAGCTTCGTGAGAAGGGAGTGGGTCACTGTAAGTTCGAATGTCTGCTTGTGGCGGTCGGTGAGAACTGCTTCTAGAATGGTCTGACGAGAACTCCCAGACTCCTTTCCTGCTACCCGAGAGGCTCCATCCATTTCTACAGGCAGAGCCTTTTTTTCCTTTCCAACCAAGTTGACTCCGGCTGTTCTTGAGGAGTTAATTTAGGAAACCCTCCCCAAAGAAATCATACCTTGTTTTATGTCAGATAACTCTTCTAGCATTGAGAGGGTTATGTGTATAACAAAAGGAGGGGAAGGGGAATTCTGTTTTGAACAGGTGTTTTGTTGTAGCGTGACAGTTTTAATGGTGATAACTTAAAGTATTTTTGGATAGGATACAGACCAGACACTCTGTCTATCATAATTCTTGGCATGCAGAAACCTCAAAATCTGCTGACTATCGAATGCTCAGATGTTGCTAGAGAAACTTTTGTAAACATTAGTATTACTTAGAAAAATTTAACTGCTGAGAGAAACTTTTATAATTTTTTTTTCCAAATTCTCATTTTAGAAAATGAATAAACAGAATCTTGGAGTGGTGGGCTGTTATTCGCAAGTCTGTGGGAACAAATATATGATGTTTTGTAAATTGTAGGTGAACTATTAATGGTGATGGGGTGATGGCTATAAGTCATTGCACTTGCTCTTCATAGTATCCCTGAGAAATGGGCAGAGGAGGCGTTAGTTATGAGAGACTCTGCCCCAAATGCACATTCCTGAGCAGAGTTTTCTGCATTCATGTCATCTTAGAAAGAACTGTTCTTTTAGTGCCAAGTTCTGGAGTCAAATTTCCTGGCTCTACCCCTTGACCTTGGACAAGTGGATTAATTCTTTGTACTTTGGTATTCTCATTTATAAAAAGGACACAACAGTCATTCTTACTTCATAGGGTTATTATGAGGATTAAATAGGATAATATATGCAAACTGCTTAGAACATTGTGTGATATGTACTGAGCACTCGGCAATGTTAGCTATGATATTATTGGCTGTTTTTAAAAGGGCCCATTCTGCAGCGATTCTGTGACTTATTTATGCTTACTATTTTGTCTGTATATTCTTTCATATTTATTTAAAAAAAATAATTTTGTATCAGGCTGATTTTGGCTGTAAGTCAAAGCAGTCCAACTCAGTGTGGCATCAGAGAAGGAAAACTATCATCTTCCCAACTCTAGCTCTAGAATTGGGGGGATTCCAGAGTGGGGTGATTCCTTCTCTCCACTATACCAGCCAGTGTGGGCTTCATCCTACAATTGCTACTCTCATGACTATGAGTATCGATGTGGATAGTATCTTATTCCTTATTAACATCTGGCAGGAACAAGAGATAAGACGTCTCCAGGCATGGAAATAGACCTGTCTCTTTAATCTGATTGGGAATACTTGTTGTACATGGCCTCTCCTGTACACACGGTTGCCAGGAGACAGCCATGGCTGGTTGGCTTAAACCTGGGTTCCCGCGCTGTCACTAGCAAGAGAGATTGGATTGCCAGGTACTGGTGCAACTTGGCCAAGCCTAACCCCCTGGAGATAGGACTGAGTAGGGACATTAGCAAAACTGAGTTCCATTAGGAAGGTTGAAGGGATAAATGCATGCTACACAGGCAACCACAGTGTCTGCTGTAAAGGTATGGATCTGAAAAAGCAACATGGTTTTGATAACTATAATAAAATTATTTAGATTTTCTTTATTATTTTCAAAATAAATTATACAAAAGTGTCTTTTATCTTGAGGGTTAATTAATTACATTGTTTGTATATTTCAGAAAATGTTAGCAAACTCAAGAAACTTGAATATTTGAATTTAGCTTTAAACAACATTGAAAAAATAGAAAATTTGGAAGGTAAGAATTTCTTATATTTTATCATTAATTAGAATGGACGGTTGAAGTTGGATTTAAACAGTATTGCATAACAATAGGAATGCTTTTTGACTTGACATTTTGTATAAATCTTATATTTATTCCTGTTGTAAAAGTTCAAACAATAAAGTGCTCTATGAATTCAAAAATGGAAGCTCACCTCACCCTTTCCTCACCTCGTCTCCTTCCCAGAGGTAGCCAAAGTTAACACTTGTGTATAGAAGGTGGGGTTTTTTTTTCATTTTGATTTCTATTAATGGGATCATAGTTTGAGTATTGTTTTGAAAATTAATTTCTTTCCTGGCATTACCTTGCTCCTTTGATATCCAGGAAAGGGGGTGTGGGACTGTGTACTGGAATGATTGTAGACTGATTTATCTAACCATCTGTCTGCAGATGGACGTTTGGGTGAGTTCTGGCATTTTGCTATAATAAGCGTGGCTGCAATGAGCATCCTTCCACATTTTACTTTGTGTACATGTGCACAAATTTTTCTAGGATAGATGCTTAGAAATGGAATTCCTGCACTTAAATAAGCACATTTTGAAAGATACTGCCAAATTGTTTTCCAAAAAGATTGTATCAATTTATACTTGTACTGACAGTCTATGAAAGTACCTATTTCAACACAACTTCACTCATACTTCCTATGAACAATATTTATTTGAGATAGGAAGACATTTTAATTTTTGCTTGTTTTAATAGTTGCCATCCCATGACAAGGGGTGTGAAGTGGTATCTTATTGTGATTCTGATTTGCATTTACCTAATTACTAATCATATTGAGCATTTATATGGCCAATCATATTGGCCATTTGAATGTCTTTGGAGAAATATTTATTCAAAACATTGGTGCATTTTAAAATTAGGTCATTTACTTTTGCATAGTTGAGTTGTAAAAGTTCTTTATATATTCTGGTTGGTAGGCCCTGATCTAATATATGATTTGCAAATATATTCTTTCACTTTTTGTGTTTTCTTTTCTACTTTTTTATAGTTTTTGAAGTGCAGTCATTCTTTTTTTTTTTTACAGTCATTCTTAATTTTGATTGTGATATCTTTGGTTTTACTATCATGGTAACATGAGACTTATAGAATGGATTGTGAAGGGTTTCTTCTTTGGAAAGTTTTTGAAGAATTGGTGTTAATTCTTTAAACATTTGTTGGAGTACACCAGAAAGTCATCTGGTCCTGGACTTTTCTTTGCAGAAATTTTTTTGATTACTGATTTAATCTTTTGTTCTGTTATAGACCTATTCAGATTTTCTGTTTCTTCCTGAATCAGTATTGGTAGATGATATATTAGAAATTATCCATTTCACCTAGGTTTTCACATTTGTTGCGATACAATTGTTTTTACTACTTTCTTGTAATCCTTTTTTTTTTTTAAGATCAATAGTAATGCTCATTCTTTTATTTCTTCTTTTGGTAAATTTGAGTCTTTTCTCTTTTTTTCTTGATTAGTGTAGCTAAAAGTTCATCAATTTGATCAATCTTTTCAAAAAATCAACTTTTGATTTTGTTGTTTTTCTCTATTGATTTATATTCTCTATTCATTTCCACTGTAGTCCATTATTTCTTTCATTTTCTTTACTTTGTGTTGAGTTTTCTCTATATTTAAAAATTTTAAGGTGAAAAGTTAGGTTATTGATTTAAGATCTTTCTTCTTTTCTTATATAGGCATTTACAGCTATGAATTCTCCTCTGAACTCTCTTTTACTTGCATTCATTAAGTTTTGGTATGTTATGTTTTTGTTTTAATTTATCTCAAAGTATTTTCTAATTTTTCTTGTGATTTCTTCTTTGATTCATTGCTTATATAGGAGTGTCACTTAATTTCCACATATTTATGAATTTCCCAAATTTTCGTCTTTTATTGATTTCTAGTTTTATTTCATTAGGGTCAGATAAATACTTTCAATAATTTCAATCATTTTAAATTTATTGAGACTTGTTTTACGGCATAACATTTGGTCTGTCTAAGAGGTTGTCCATGTACACTTGAGAAGAATGTGTATTCTGCTGTTCTTGGGTGTAGTGCTGTAAAGATGTCTATTAGGTCTTATTTGTTTTGTTTTTAGTCTCTCTCTCTCTCTTTTTAAAGCATTGTTCCAGTCTTCTATTTGTTGATATACTGTCTAGTAGTTTTATCTGTTTTTGAAAACTGGTTATTGAAGTCTCCATTTATTTTTTTTTGAATTGTCTATTTGCTCTGAAGATCATGTCAGTTTTTGCTTTATGTATTTTGGGAGTCTGCTATTAGCTGCATATATGTTTATAATTGTTTCCTCTTCTTGCTTAAATTGCCTGATTATAAAATTTCCTTTGTTTCTAGTAACAATCTTTTTCTTAAAATCCATTTTGCGTGATATTAATATAGTCTCCAGCTCTTATTCCCCCTTTGGTTATTATACGCATAGTAACCAGCCTTTAATTTGCCTACCATTTTGTATCTAAAGAGCTTCTGTTTAAACAGCATATAGATAGATCTAAAGTGCTTTTTAAAAAACAGCAGATAGATGGATAATGTTTTTATTTTTAATCCATACTATCAGTCTGTGCCTTTTAAACCAGGAGTTTAATCCACTTATATTTAATATAATTAGTGATAAGGTAAAATTTATGTCTGCCATTTTGCTATTTTTTTCTATATATCTTATGTCTTCCTTGTTCCTCTTTTTATATTGCTGCCTTTATTTTTGCTAGATTTGTGTGTGTGTGTGTGTGTGTGTGTGTGTGTGTGTACCATTTTAATTTCCTTGTATCTTTTACTATATATTTTGTGATACTTTCTTAGTAGTTCCCTGGGAATTACAATCAACACCTTAACTTATAACAATCTAGTTCAAATGAATACTAATTTAATTTCAATAGTAAATATTACTTTGCTCCTACATAATTTAGTTTCCTTCTCCTCCTTTATGCTGCTATTGTCACAAATTACATCTTTACATGTTATGTGCCCATCAGCTTAGATTATTTCTTTTTGCAGTCATCTTTTAAATAAGTTATAAGAAAAAAGTTGGTAAAAAATATATTTATATTGCCTATTAGATTTACCTGTGTAGTTATTTTTACTGATGGTTCTTATTTTTTTCATGTAAATTTGAGTTTCTCTTTAGTGTTTTTTCATTTCAGTCTAAAAGATATCCTCTAGTATTTTTCATAAGCCAAATCTGCTAGTGACAAATTATCAGTTTTTGGTTATCTAGAAATATTTTAATTGCTTTTTTCATTTTTAAAGAATAGTTTTCCCAGATAAAGAATTCCTGGTGGACAATTATATTTACCTTCCCTCCCTTCCTATCTTTCTTCTTTCCCTCCTTCCCTCCTTCCCTCTCCCATCTATCTTCTTTTTGTCTATATATTTTTCAGTCTACCATCTTTCCCAATAATTTTCTCCTCTCTATTTTCTTTGATCTTATGAAGAACTTCTTTTAATTGGATTTTAGTTGTATTAGGCTGACCTTGTGTGCCTTTTAACTGACATCTCTTCCTTAGATCCCTTTGTCTTGTTGTTGTACATTCTGGGATATTTCAAAAGATTTAAATTCCAGAATATTTATTTTATGTGACTCCCTGCTCATTATATCATTTAATTCATCAGCAATTAACTTTTTATTTTGGCCATAAATTTTATTCTTTTGATCTCACTCTTGCGCTCTGATTGCTATTTTCCTGTGATGTGTATTGTTATTTTATGGGTGATACATTTTCTGAAATCTCTTTGGAGATACTTGTTTGAACTTTTTGCTTTCAATTTCTTCCATTCCTTGAATGATCTCTCTTCATTTGAGGTTTTCTGTTTCATTTTGCAGCCTTCTGTTGTGTGCTGTTTGTCTCTGGATGTCTGGTATCATTTGATGTCTGCGTATAATCACAAAGGGTTTGGTGTATGAGGTGGCTGATGTGGCTTACTCTGCAGCTGAGAGGTTCTGCTTTCCCATCCAGCCCCCTGCCTACCTGCCAGAGCCCCTGTGTGCTCTGTGAGTGGGAGGGGCATGCCGATGGGCAGACTGTACAGTGCAGGGGCAGGAAGCAGAGGCAGACAAGCTGCTCTCCCCACCCTACTCCCATATCCCAGTGGCTAGAATTAGGAGGACTTCACTTAGGTCATGGTGAATTTTGACCTATGTGCCTGCTAGTGTAGTAATGGATATTTCAGTGACTATCAAGGTTATCTATCAACAGTGACATAAATCTGCATCATAAGTTTCTGATTTTCATCCTGAAAAGCTGGGGAATTACCACTGCCAAAGACCCCAAACCCAACTCCAGTGCTGGAACCAAAATGATGATTTCAGTCATTGGTATTTTTCCACATTAGGAAAGGAGTCATTGTTCTCTCCCAGCTAACACTCTGCAGCCCTGTTCTCTTGTGAACAAATGAAATGACAAAATTTACTTTATATTCATGTTTTGTGGTAGTGAAGTTTCAATCTAAAATGTCAGAGAAGTAATTAAAACTGTCACTCTTGGCTTGGTTGTCCAGGGCTTGTTCTTTTTGTTTAGAAAATATCTTAGACAATATGAAAAATTCTGTTTTTGTGGTATGTTTTGTTTATCTACCACGAGAGGGCAGCATCATCACTATTGTCTTCTGAGCTTGGCAAACAGGCAACTGCCCACCTCCATCCTTTTGCTTGGATGGTCTTTCTTTTGGTGCTTGGCCTTCCAGCTCTAATGTGGATGCATGGGTGCAAGACAGCTTGAGGACGGTTTGGTGGTGGAGAGGGCAGTGGCAAGGAAGGATGCATCTCGTCTGCTGGCAAATATGTACTTTTTAAAATGTTAAGCATTTGAGGTGAGAGAGGAGAAGATGAATATTCACACTCAGCCCATTTGCTTGAGTTTATCTCAATATCATTTTAGAGTAAGTTGTTTTTTTCCCGTTTTTCCCCATGGATAGCAAAACCACACACATATATATATAATCCCTTTTTTCTGTCTTTCCTTTTGAGATTCCCCAGGGTAGAATAAAG